AGGGGAAGGACTTGTTTCCTTCTCCTTTCCTTATGACAGGGGATTAGTCGTTGCAGCCTGGCCCTCCATCGAGGGGCTGCAAGGCTCCTTGATCCACCCCACGTCCTGTGAGGAGAAAGCTCCAGCCCTGGAGCTCTGAGGAGGGAACCATTTACAGAATCACAGAATCTTCTAGGTTGGAAGGGACCTTAAAGATCATCTTGTCCAACCGTCAACCTAACTGACAAAAATAGACACCCACACAACAAACAAAAAGCAACACCATCACTAAACCTCCCAGCACTACATCAACCCGTCTTTTGAACACCTCCAGGGATGGGGCCTCAGCCACCTCCCTGGGCAGCCCATTCCAATGGCTGATAACACTTTCAGTGAAAAATTTTTTCCTAATATCCAGCCTTACCCCCCCAGCCCTCTTCCCTCTGCTTTCCCCCTGGCTCCTCATCCCCCTCGCATCCCGCTCCTGTCCTGAGCTGGGGCTGTGCTCCTCCGTGGCTTCCCTGAGGGAAAACCCAGAGCACCTTCAGCTTGTCCTGCTGAGCTGCTGAGGGGCAGGAGGTGACCTGAGGGGCAGGAGGTGACCTGAGGGGCTGGCTCAGGTCCATCCCTTCAGTGGCTCACGCTTGCCATCAGCAGAGCTGGCTCCCCGGGCAGCCTGGGCTCCCGTCCTCGCTGGCCCTGGGCTGGGCCACCTCCATCCTGCCCTCAAGGACTTGGCTTATCGATAGTGGGGAACACGGCTATTGCGTGAGGTGGAGATAACCACCGCGTCGGTGCACTCAGTGTCCTTCCCTTCCCTTCCCTTCCCTGTCCTCTTCTCCTGCGGGTAAAGAAGTGGAAAATCCTTTTCATCCTGCCTTGCCCCGAAGCCAAGTTTCACATCTTTGGGTGTGTTCAAGCTAAAGGCCAGGAGAGCTGGAGGGGAGAAACCTTCCCCTCCCTATGCCCACCTCGGCATGGCCGGGGGCATGGGGGGCTGCGGAAAGGCTCACCCCCTTTTCGGTGTGATGCTCGTCACCTCCTCTCCTGCTGTGCCACAGCTGAAGCCGACGTGCTGCACCCACAGAATGGGGGTCTGGCCTCAAACAGGTGAGAAAGAAACCCGTGAGGCTGTTGGGGACATTGGGGACCCCTTGCAGTGCCTCTGCCCTGCACTCGTCTGCCCAAAGCAGGGGTGTTTCCGAACCCCAACTCCTCTCCCTGCCTGCCCTTGCCTGTGCCTCTCTCCTTCACGGGGTGAGGGGATGTGGGGGGGAAGCCGTGCAAAAGCTGACTCCTCTAAACCCAGAAATCATCCCTTCTGCTGCTTGAATTAAAGTGTTAATAGACACTGTGTTAATAAACACGGCAATCACACTCTGCAATCAAGCATTTCAAATGCCCCTTTGTTTAATTAGCGGAGCCCCCGCCCGCAGACACAGGCAGCGCTGTCTGGCCCCCCCAGCCCAGGGTGGGAGCCGAGGGGGGAGGATGGGGGGCGCAGGAATTCCTCCTCCTCGGAGGCACGACGTCTCGTACCAACTATTTCCTCGCCTCCTCTCTGCGTCAGCTGCCCAGAAACAAAACATTTACGGCTGAAGGACTGAAGTGAACTCGTGGCATCTCCTGGGGGGGGGGTCACAGCCGGCAGCCTCAGCCCCCTGCACGCTCCCCATCCTCTGCTCCCAGGGCATTGCTTCTCCCCAAAGACAATAAATAACTCAGCCGGCCCCAGGCTGATGGTGTTTTGTTCCTTGGCCATGGAAAGGGGGTGTCTGGTCTTTGCCTTGAAATCCATCCTGGTCCCCTCCGGGGAGCATCACCCTGGGGTTGGGTCTCCTGGTGGCCCCCAGCTCAGTGAGGAGGGGAGAAAGGATGACTCCCCGTTATCAGGAGTGTGTTAACCCCACGGCAAACATGATTTCACTGGTGCAAGGGTAACGGTGGTGACATCTGAGCAGGAAACGTGGTCCCCTCCTCTCTGGGACCTAATCTAAATTGCTCTAGGAGAGGTCAGCAAGTGGACCAAAGCCTCCTGCTCCCTTGGGGACAGGGAGCCAGGGCAAGGGGGTCCCTGGGTGGCCCTCTGCTGTGGCACGGCAGCGCAGGGGTTATCTCGCCTCTGGTGGTGGGACATCAGAGAGGGGATGGTGGTTTAAAGGTACTTGCTCTGTGGTGGGCTGGGCTGCCTGTGCCTCCTCTCCTCCTCACGTGCCCAGCATCACCTGGTGCCACCAGCCGTCATCCTGCTGTGCAGGGTTGCCACCACGCAGCATGTCCTGCTGCTGCTGAGGGGTCATATGGAATGGTCTTGGTTCCTCACTGCCCATCCCTTGGAGATCGCTGGTGGGGTTTTTCCTCCCAAAACAGTCCCTGCAAGGACCCCCGGGATCAGGACCCATCTGTGAGACCCCTCTGCAGCTGTGTCTGCCGTGGCCAGTGGCTGCCTTGGGTGCTTGGGACCCTGTTGCTTCCTGGGTGCCCATGCTCCCAGTGTCCTGGGGTGGAGATGCAGTGATGCTGGGGCTCTCCCCACTGCCTGGGGACCGTGATGTGCCACATGCACCCAGGGGCAGCGAATCCCCATGTGGGCACCTTAGTCCTGGTGATACCTGCACCCCTAGAAGCAAGTAGGGCTGGAGGAGGCTGGGGGGGGTTTGCATTGCCTGCTGTTAGCCCCTGGGGAACTGTGCTTGTCCCCACTGGCACCCTCACAGTGGTGGCACATGGCAACCCCCTAGCATGGTGCCCAGGGACAAGGTGTGCAGGAGAGTGACACCCCCCAACAGCCCTCCCACCCTCCCTGGGCTCCTGGGTGGCAAAGCCATAGGGTGGGGAGGGACAGGCCAGAGCAAGGGCAAGAGGAGGGAGACCTCTGCCTTAGGGACCAGGGGTAATGGTTTTAAATTGGAAGAGGGGAGATTTAGATTAGATATTAGGAAGAAATTCTTTCCTGTGAGGGTGGTGAGGCACTGGTACAGGTTGCCCAGAGAAGCTGTGGATGCCCCATCCCTGGAGGGGTTCAAGGCCAGGCTGGATGGGGCTTGGAGCAACCTGGTCTGGGGGGTTGGAACTCAGTGATCTCTAAGGTCCCTTCCAACTCTAACCATTCTATGACTCTGTGACCAGCCAGATGGGCCAGAGCAGCCCCCACCACAGCCCACCCTGCTGGGGGACCTACCAGGGCCCCTCGCTGCCAGAGGAAAGCTCAGCCAACAGCCTGGCTAGAAACACAGGTTTATTGCGACATCGGTTTGCAACCAGCACTCAATCGCCCCAGCGGCAAGTCCGGACCCGTGCGGACACCCTGAACCCCTTGTGATACCTCTGCGGCCAGTGAGTCCCTGGGGGCACAAGCCCACCCATCCCCATATCCAGGCAGGCTCGCTGGGGCTGCGGGCTGGGGTCCTGCTGCGCCGGGGGCTGCCTGTGGGCTGGCAGCAGGGAGGAGGGAACAGAAGCCAGATTCGGGGGGGTCCTTCGCTGATGTGAGCTGGGATCTCCGAGGATCTCGGGATTGACCTCCCCCCCTCCCCAAGCCTGTAAGCACTGGAGATGCTGCTGTGTCCTCTCCTCTTCCCACACCCCCTCAGTGCCATCCCGGATGCTCCAGGGAGCTGGGAGAGGTGCCAGCCCAGTTTCCACCTGCAGCCGCTACACGTATCCTGTCAGGTTGTAGGAGTTGACCTCGCTCTTGGTCTTCTGCGTCTGGCCAACGGAGGGCCGGGGGCTCTTGCCCACCAGCAGCCGGGACTGGTAGTTGCTTGTATAGGTGGCCGCTGGGTCCCGGGCAGGGCAGGAGGTGCAGAGGATGAAGCCACCGATGAGGGAGAGGAGGGAGGAGATGATGCCCAGGTAAAGCGCCTCCCCAAGCTCAAACTTTATGCTGTCGGGGAGGACGGGGTTGTGGAAATCCCGCAGCACCACGTGGATGTTCCACACCAGCGGGATGAAGCAGAGCAGCCCCCCGAGGACGAAGACCGCGCCGCCCGCCACCGCCACCCGGTCCTTGCCTGGGGAGCCCTGGCTGAAGACGGTGCACCTCATGCCCACCACGGCGAGGAGGCAGGCGAGGGAGGAGACGGCGCAGGAGCTCACCATCAGGGCTTGGGCTGCCTGGATGTCGGCGGGCAGGTTGAGCAGGGAGCTGTAGATGTCACACTGGGTGATGCCCGTGCTGTAGGTGGCACACTCCATCCACAACCCCTTGGTGAAGCTCACGGCCGTCACGATGCTGGAGCCGATGTAGGAGCTGGTCTTCCAGGTGGGCAGCAGGGTGGCCGCCAGCGTGCCGATGTAGCCCAGGAAGGCCAGGCCGTAGCCCAGCAGCTGGAGCCCCATGGACACCATGGTGGGGGGGCTGGCTGTCACCTCCCTGGGGCTTGTGTCTTCTCACCCAGCTTGCCACCAGCTGCCTCCAGCCACGCTTACCTTCCCATGGCCCTGCCGGTTGCTCTGCTGGCTCTGCCACAGCTCCACCCCGTTCCCGGGGGGGTGCTGGTTTTGTGTGGGCACTGGCGCGGGGGTGGGAGCCGGAGGGGAGGAGGAGGAGGAGGAGAGGTTACCTGCAAAGAGTGGAAAGCCATCCCTCCTCGATTAACGATTGACCCAAGCCCGCGGAGCAGCGCCAAGCGCCCTTTCACCTCCGCTATCTCCCCAGCCGGGCTGCAGAGAGGCAGAGCAGTGCTGCCCGGGAGGGACGCCAAAGCCCTCCCTTGCACCAGGGACGTGGGCAGGGATGAAGAGTTGGCCACTGGCCAGGAGAGCACCTACTGCCTTCCCCAGGGTGGGGGGAGAAAGGGGTGTCCCTTGTCTTCTGCCATGCCCTCAGCCGAGGAAGCCAAAAAGCTACAGCTGCGCCCTGTTACTTGGGACCTGCCCGAGGTGATTTCAGGTGGTGGCCCTGAGGTTCTCCCAGCTGAAGGAAGGAGGGGGGCTCTACCTCCTCCCCATCTGCGTGGGGCTCATCTAAGGCATCTAAGAACCCAGAGGTTCTCCCAGCTGAAGGAAGGAGGGGGGCTCTACCTCCTCCCCATCTGCGTGGGGCTCATCTAAGGCAGCCACCCACCCTGAGCTGCTGAGGCACCGGTGGGACAATGGGATGTGCCCAGCTGAGGCTGAAACCATGTTTATCAACCTTTCCGTGCTGCCGGGGACAACAACAGAGAGGGATGTGTGTGACAGGGATGCCTGTGTCCCCAGGAGAGCCCAGAGGTCCACGGAGGGCAGAACTCCATCGGGGCGAAGCACGCTGGCAGCACCTTGGGGATGCTTCCCTGGAGTGGGGTGAGCACACTGGGGTGCAGCTCATGCTTGCCACTCTCAGTGAGGATTTTTCTGCTGGTGCCATCTCCTGCCTGCAGTCTGGGAGGCTTGGGGGGGGTTGGCAGAGGCGGTGGAGTGGGGTAGTTTGTTTTCCTTCTCCCTTATTTCAAAATTCCCCCTCCCGCGGTGTCTTGCGAAACCGGGCTGAGCCCACACCACGCCGTGCCGACGGGGCGGCCGCCCTGGGAATGCTCCTGGCTGAGAGTGCCACCACCACCCGGCACCTCCACACCTCTCCCCATCCCGTGTCCCCCCCCTTGGCACCTCAAATGCTTGGGACCAAAGTTTCCCAACTTTCTGTCTCCTTTCCCTTGCACTAACCAAGATCTCCCGCTCCGTCCCAGGGGTGTTGCTGCAAAGGAGACACCTGGGGTGCTGGCAAAACGGCCCGGGAGGGTCTTGATGGAGCTCTAGGGTACTTACGGAGGTGGCTGGAGAGACGTGGTGTGGGACCGAGGGTGGCCACGGCCAAGGGTCACCCAGGAGCGGACGGAGGTGGCTGGTGAGGGCAGGGAGAGTGGCCGGGGCCCCGGCCCAGGGGATCAGGGGCTGTGAATTGTTTAGTTACGGCTTTTGCAAAATCCACCTGCAAATCTCAGCCCGGCTCAGAGGCTTATGGCAGATCAGAATTAAACCCTTTCGGCCTCGGGAAAGATTGGGGAGCTGGGATGCCTCGTTTTGCTTGTTGTTTATTAATCATCAGGGTAGGTTTGCCTTAGGTGGGTCAGGTCTGTGGCTTGCTGTCACCTTTCTGGCCAGCGGGTGACTGTGTGCCACCATCCTTGTGTCCTCTTCGGGCTGTGTCACCCGTGCTGGGGTCGGAGGGGCAGTGAAACGCCACAGGGTGAGCTCAGGCTTTGGGTTTGCTCCTCCTGGCCCTGCTCGTCTTCCCCCCGGGGTTTGTTGTTGTAAGACTCCTGGCCCAAATGAGGAGCAAATGGGGACGGTAATGAGGGCTGTGCTGGCCCCGTGCCCCCTCCCGCTCGCCGGCTGCCACAGATGGAGAGGGGCAGGGAGGGCCCCTGGTGACAAATTGTGCTCAGAGCTGAGCGAGGTCCGGCCAGCATTTGGACAAGGAGTGTTTGGATGCTGATAGCAGAGCTACAAGCAGGGAACCATTTGCTATTTTCTTTCCTTGTCCCAAATTGGAACCCTCCCAGGAGCAGGAGGTGACCTGTCTGACAGCGGCATCTCTCCTCCAGTGCTCGGGGCAGGGACGGGATGTGTGGTGGTGCCGGGTTGGGGTTGAGCCTTGCACCCTCATATCAAGGAGCTTTTCTGTACCTGCTGGCATGTTTCACATCTCAAAAAGCCAAGGGAGAGGGCAGGGAGCATGGGCAAGCAGTGCAGGAACAGGGCCTGGCAGCTCCCCGGGGCAACTCAACCAGGGGTGAGGGATACCTGAGCAGGACCATTGCCCTGCCTGTGCCTGGGGTCCACCCCTGCCACCCATTTTCCCTCCCTGTCCTCTCTTGAGCATGCCATCACCCGCCTCCTGGTTGCTCTGTACCTGCCACCACTGAAGCCCACCATCACATGCCCATCACCCTATCCCCAGGGCATGCCCACCACATGGTCCTCCTCATGCCCATTGTGCCGTCCCCATCCCAAGTCCACCACGCCATCCTCATCCCATGCCCATCACGCTGCCCCAGCACCTCCCATCCCTTCCCTATGTCCTGTCCCCCACCCCCACCCCACCTTATGCAAATGGTTACAAAGAGCACTTAATCATCCTTGTTAATTGTCTCTGCCCTCCCCTGTTCCCTCCTGGGGATTTTCTCACAAATGGTGTCTAACTTTTCCCTTCTGTGTTTTGTTTTTCCACCAGGAATCGCAGCCCCTCCGCCCCCAGCCTCCCCCCGACCCTCTGTTTACACAACTGGGACAAATTTCACACCCCGGGGACCCGCTGTCCCTGCACCCCTACTCCCTCGCTCCCCTGCCCCGAAGAATTTGTGAGTCACTGCCCGGGGCAGGGCTATAAAGGTGTCCTCACCGAGGGTCTGTAGCCGTCAGAGGGGACACCGTTGACTGCCACCATGGAAGCTGCTGCCTGTTGCCTGCCTTCCCAAGGGCTCCGGGTGCCCGTGGCCAGTGCTTGCCCAGCCCCAGGGCTGGAGCAAGGGGGAAGGTACCTGGGTGCTGGGGTGGGCTGAAGCTGGGGGAGAAGGGTGGGATGGGGAAGGCTCCAGCTGGATTTGGGTGAAGGCTTGGTGGCTCCTTAGTTTGATGGGGACCCCCTTGCTCCTGGTGGCGACCCCCTTGATCCTGGTGGCTACTCCCTTGATCCTGGTGGCCACGGGTGGGAGAGAGGGTGCAGAGCCTGGGGAGCGATGCTGGGTGCTCCCAGGGGGGCTGGAGCTGGGCAAGAAGCACTGGGGGCAAGGTGGTACGAGTGCACCCCCATGTCCCCCAGCCCCCCAGCCACGCAGGCGGGCAGGGGCTGATCCAGGAGGGTGAAACTGTGGGGCTGGAGGTACGTGGTTGGAGGTGTGGGGGGGAGCAAGGCAAGGGGGGAGCGGGCCAGGGTGGGCGGCCATCGCGCTGAACCTTCTCCCCACACCTAGATCCCTGCCCCTCTGGAGACCGTGGCTGCCCCGAGCGGAGGAGGGAGCCGGGCAGCAGAGGGAGCAGATGGATGCTGTAAGTTTTACATTCCCTGCTAGGGGTGTCCCCCCTCCCCGCCCCCCATTTTCCCCCTGGCAAGGTTGGTGTACCCATTTGGCACAAAACCAGCCTCTTTCCCCAAACTCCCCCAGCCCTGGCGCTGCGATGGGGCAGGACCGTGCCCGCCTGCCCTGGTGCATCACCCCCCTTGCCCCACACAGCCTGGTCCAGCCAGGTCCCCCCCCTTTGCCCCCCACCCAGGGCAACCATGGCCAGCACAGCTGCGCCGCGGGGGCCTGAAAGGGCTGCCTGTTCCCAGCCTGGCGGGCATTCCTCAGGGGGTTAGCAGGACGCCCGGGCATGAGCTCGTGAGCACGGGGGGGAGATTACACTGGCAAAGAGCCCGTCGGGGAGGCGGGGGGGTGTGAGGGAGATGCCAGCTCCCATTGCGAGGTATATGAAGGACCTAAACCCTGGGGCAAAGGGGGAGAAGCCATCTTCGCGGGGGCATTGCCCCCGGAGATGGCAGAGAAAGGGTCCCTGCCCTCGCTGCCAGCCGGGGTCCCCCATGTGCCCCCCGTGCTGCCATGCTGGGGAGGAGGGGGGCAGCGGGAGCCCCAGGGCAGGTCCCACCCTGACTGTGTCTCCTCAGGCGTGGGCACGAGAGGCGACGGGGGACAGCGGCCCCGACAAAACGCTGACGTTTTTCCACCACCCCGTCAGGTAGGTCCCCTGCTGCCCAGCGCCCCGGCTGCCCCCCCGGTGGGCGCCATGGGCAGGCTGGGGGGTGCTCAGCCCAGCTCTCCCCACACAGGCTCCTCTGGCCCAAGTCCAAGTGCTTTGACTATCTGTACAGCGTCGGGGAGAGGCTGCTGGAGAACTTCCCGGTGCAGGCCACCCTCTGCCTCTACGAAGACTCAGGCAGTGAGGAAGAAGAGGAGGAAGAGGAGGAGGAGGAAGAAGAAGAAGAGGAGGAGGAGGCAGGGGACATGGCGGCAGGGCCATGCAGGCCAGTGTGAGGGTGCGGTGCAGCAGGCGAGGGTGGGCCCGGCGGAACCGAGGAGGTGACGGCCTCCTCCGCCTCCATGCGGGCAGCACGCGGGCAGGCAGCGGGCACAGGCCCCACCTCCGGGGGCTACTGGCCCTCAGGGCTAGCGGTGCCCACGCTCCATCCCGCCCGGCCGCGCCGTCATGGGTCGGGGACTACAACTCCCAGCAGCCGCCGCGGCACCTCCCGACAGCCGCAGCGCTTTCTCATTGGCTACCGGTCCCTCCCGGGTTGGGGGAGGAGAGCGTAGCTCCGCCCATCCTCCCCGCTCCGCGTTCCTATTGCAGCCGCGGGGGGAGGAAGGCGGGGCGCGCTGGCTGCGCGGGGCGCGATTGGTCGAAAGGCGGAAGGAGGCGGGGAGAAGGGGCGGGGCCTGCTCCTCCCCTGCCCGTCGGCGGGAGGGAGCGGCTGCAGCGGGGCGCGAGGCGCGGGGCCGCCATGAGGTACGGGCGGGGCGGCGCTGCCGGGGGCGGCGGGAGGATGAGGGGG